ATTATCTTCTGTGTCTGTGTTAATTGGTTTCCCTTTTCTTTGTTGAAGAGGGTCTGTGCAATCTTTCTGCCTAGTCTGCCATCTTGCCAGAACTCTTCCAAGATGCACATTCTTACAATGGTAAATAATCATGATATTAGTGGGGTCAGAAAGAAAGACCCAATGCCTTCAATTTTTCCACCCAGAGCAAGGCTATTAGAGATTTATTTCTTAGACATGATCTTGTTAAAACACAAACAACCCCTCTTAAAGCAGTGTCAGTCATTAACTCTTTGCGTGAAATAGTTTATCAGATTTTTTTGCCTTTTTAGCTCCTGGCTAAGATAATTCCATGACAAATGAGACATAATTTTGATAGAAGAGGGAAAAATAGTCCTAGAGAGGTCTTTTTGTACTTTCCCATTCAAAATTCAGTTTCTAATCCTGCTGGTCTTTTCTACCACCAGATTCACTGAATGTTGGATGGATTATCTAGTTGAAATGCTTGGGTCAAATAAAAGTCATTCTTGATGAAGAGTTGTAACAATAAGGATACTTAATGAAATTTCAAATTTTGACTTCATATTCTAACTTTAAATTTGCCCTTCTCTTAACTCTTGCAGTCATTATTTCATTTCCTTTCATATCTATTCTTTTCACCCAACTTCTGCTCCTTTAATCTTACATTCAGTTACAGTATCCAAGCTACCTCAATCCCATTTTTAATCCCCTCTTTTCATTTGCTTTTCCAGCTCTTAGAATTTTAGCCCTTTATCTCAATTTAGGGGACACTAATATCTCAGTTGGAATACCGATTGAGATATTTCAACAAACGGAATGCCCCATTGGAGGCACTCACTCAGTTATGCTAAGAGATTTGGAAGACAGCTACCTGGCCAACTGACTGGAAGAGATCCATATTTGTACCCATTCCAAAGAAAGGTGATCCCACAGAATGTGGAAATTATAGAACAATATCATTAATATCACACACAAGTAAGATCTTATTGAAGATAATTCAAAAACATTTGCAGCAGTATATTGACAGAGAACTTCCAGAGGTGCAAGCTGGATTCAGAAGAGGATGTGGATAGCTGTTGTCAGATGGATCTTGGCTCAAGGCAAAGAATACGAGAAAGATGTTTACTTGGTTTTATTGACTATGCAAAGGCATTTGATTGTGTGGATCATGACAAATTATGGATAACATTGAGAAGAATGGGATTCCCGAACACTTGATTGTACTCATGAGGAATCTGTACCTTGACCAGGAGGCTGTCGTTCGAACAGAACAAGGGGACACTACATGGTTTAAAGTCAAGAAGAGAGTGAGTCAGGGTTGTATCCTTTCTCCACACTTATTCAATCTATATGCTGAGCAAATAATCTGAGAAGCTGGACTATATGAAGAAAAACGTGGTATCAGGATTGGAGGAAGAATCATTAACAACCTAAGATACGCAGATGATACAACTTTGCTTGCTGAAAGTTAGGATGACTTGAGGCACTTACTGATGAAGGTTGAAGAATACAGTCTGCAGTATGGATTACATCTCAATATAAAGAAAGCAAAAATCCTCACAACTGGAACAATGAGCAGCATCACAATAAATGGAGGGAAGATTGAGGTTGTCAAAGAATTCACATTGCTTGGTTCTACAATCAATGCCAACGGAAGCAGCAGTCAGGACATTAGACAACATGTAGCATTGGGAAGGTCAATCATGAAGGAACTGTTTCAAGTGCTGAGGAGCAAGGATATCTCCTTGAGGACTAAGGTGCACCTGACACAAGCCATGATATTTCCAATCACCTCATATGCATGTGAGAGCTGGACAATGAATAAGGAAGACCAAAGAAGAGTTGATGCTTTTGAGTTGTGGTGCTGGCGAAGAATGCTGAAAGTACCATGGACTGCAAAAAGAACTAACAGATCTGTCCTGGAGGAAGTGCAGCCAGAATGCTCCTTGGAAGTGAGAATGGCCAGACTTTGTCTCACCTATTTTGGTCATGTTGTCAGAAGGGACCATTCCCTGGAGAAGGATGTCATGCTTGGTAGGGTGGAGGGTCGACGAAAGAGGGGGAGGCCTTCAAAGAGATGGGTTGACACAGTGGCTGCAACGATGGGCTCAAGTATAGCAGGGATCGTGGAGCTGGCGCGGGATCAGGCAGTGTTTCATTCTGCTGTGCATAGGGTCACTATGAGTCAGAAACAACTCAACAGCACCTAACAACAACAACAATATTCTGTGAGTAACAAAGACCCAAAATAAGAGTGGCTGAAACAAGATGGGATTTTGTTTCTCTCCTCTGTAAAAATCCAGAGGCAGGAGTCCAGGGCTACTAATGGCCACACTTCACTTAGGCATCAGGATCTAGGCCTCCCCATCCTTGCTCTGGTGTACATGGACTTCTTGACCACATCATGATCCAAGATGGCTGCTCCATCTCCAGGTATGGTGGCCACTATGTAGGTAGTAGGAAACAGGAAGAAAATGAAGAACGAGGGTAAAGAGTGTATACTAGCTGCCTATCTTAGGTTACTTGAAGGTTGTTGTTGTTTGTCATCAAGTTGATTCTGACTCAGTGACCCCATGTGAAAGAGTAGAACTATCCTATAGGATTTTCTTGGCTGTAATAATCTTAATGGAAGCAGATTGCCAGGTCTTTCTCCCACAGAGCCACTAGATGGATTCAAACCACCAGCCTTTCTGTTAGCAGTCAAGAGCTTAACCATTTGTACCACCAGGCCTCCTTTACTTGAAAGTGCCAGGCATTTCTTCTACCTGACATCCTATTGGCCAGAACCGGGTCACATAATCAAACCTGGCTGATGGGTGGATGGGAATTGTAGTCTTTATTCTGGGTGATAATGTATCTAGGTACTATTATAATAAAAGGAAACATTGATCTTGGGAACAACTACAATCTCTGTTTTACATAGGCTGACTTTTTGTCTTGAATGTGGCTAGGGACACTTCCAAAGACAAAGATTCAAGATGGCAACACAATAAATGCTGAACTATTGGAACCAAAAGACATCCAATAACATGTTTTAAGTTACTGGTTGGGTTTCTCACAATATTTCCCAAAACTTTAGCAAATATTTCTTGATTTTTCTTCAGGGATGGGTTTATAAAAGCCATTGGACCTGCTGATGCTATTCAAAGACAGTTTTCTGAAGAAACTTTTGAAGAAAGAATTGACTGTTCTGGGAAATGTATTTTACCAGGTACTTGCCTCTTTTTCTGTAAGTCTTGAAGACATTTTAACACTTGCTGTAATAATGTAAAGAGGAAGAGTAACAGCTTCTTTTAAATAGATCTCACAATAATATTAGATATATTAATTGCTACCATTTATCAAATTACTACTATTGACTGTCTAGACCCTTTACAAACATGATTTCATGTTAAATCCTATGGTAGCATTATAATGTGCATATCATTATCTACAGGTTACAGATTAGAAAACTGAAAGATAGGTGTGAAATTGCTTACCCAAGCAAGGTTGCTGAGCTGGGAAGGGATAAGCTGGGAGTCAATCCTCTACCATCTCCCATTGACACACTGAAGAGAAACCAGCTTGTTTCTCTTGTGTTTAAGGTTCAAAACTGTCAGAATAACTTTATTACTCCATTGCATGCCAGTTGCCATCAAGTTCATTTTGACTCATAGCAACCGTCCCTATAGGACAGAGTAGAACTGTCACTGTAGGGTTTCCAAGGCTGTCCCCTTTACAGAAACAGACTGCCATATCTTTCTCCCTTGGAGAGGCTGGTGGGTTTGAACCATTGACCTTTTGGCTAGCAGCTGAACGCTTTAACCTTTGCATCTCCTGGCTCCTGAATCCATCACATAAAAGAGGCAAACAGAGCAAACTACTGTCTCAAATACTGGATGGCGTGTGAAACAAAGGACCCAGATCTACATGGAAAAGGCAACAGAAAACAGTAACAAACTTAGAAGTTGGTTTTTTTTTTTTTTTCAGTTAAAGACAGAATCAGTTTAGTAACCATTGTAATCTCTTAGAGTGATGATGTTTTTTTGGTTTTGTACAATCATCTGAAATAAGTCACAAATTTTTGAGTTCTACATAAACATGTTGTGTGCTATCCAGTCAATTCCGACAACGACCCTACCTGACAGAATAGAACTGGCCTATAGGGTTTCCTATGCTGTAGTTTTTAGGAGAGCAGATCAGGTCTTTTTTTCCACGGAGTGGCTGGCAGGTTTGAACCACCGACCTTTCAGTTGGCAGCCAAAAACCATTGAGCTCCCAGAGCTCCTATATAACATAGGGGTTAGGATTTGTGTTTATAAAATGTGTGTCATTGACAGAACTTCTACATTCTGGCCTTTGGGGGTCAGAAGACAAAGTTGGAGTGAACCTTTATAAGAAAGAACAGAATCTAGTTGAAAGCAATCTGTATAAGGACTTTGATTTTAGTTCAACCAGAACTGCTAATGCTCCATAGGGTTTTCAGTGGCTGTAACCTTTTGGAAGTAGATTGCCAGGCCTTTCTTCTGAGGTGCCTTTGGGTGGACTTGAACCTCCAACCTTTTGGTTAGCAGCTCAGTTCATTAGCTGTTTGTAGCACCCAGGTACTCCTATTTAATCCATAAGGTACTTTAGATATTCTGGGAAGAAACACTTTACTGAAGTATATATACCTGGATGAACAAAAGTTCTAAATGATTGCTTTAATTGAATGTATTTATTTAAAATACATTTCTTTCTTGAAGAAAGATTCAGATTTCTGATCTCATATTTTTCCTTCACACATTTGGGGGGGACTTAATTATTCTGTTTTCACACCCAAATTATTCCTTGCTTTTGTTCAACTAATGTGTTTGATATCCTGGTTTAAAAGCCTGCTTGCTGAGTTTGGAATTAATGAGCAAAAGGCCTTATATTTCCTTAAGGGATACACATCATCATGTGAGTCACCTTCCTCCATAAAAGCCATCTAGCCCAACCAGGTCAGGCTTTCTTGTTTCCTGTGGACTTGATACTCTCTAAGGAAACCTGAAAATTCCTTCCTCCTCCAAGCTCCTCCAAGACATATGACCACCATTATGCTTCCCCAGGGAGTTCTGGTAGCATAGTGCCTAGGGCACTTGACTGCTAACCAGAAGGCTGGTAGTTCAAACCCACCAGCCACTCCTTGGAAGGAAGATAGGGCAATCTACTTCCATAGTGATACTGCCTCGGAAACCCAAGGAGGGGTCGCTATGAGTCTGGTTCGATTAGATGGCACACAACAACAACAACAATGACAATGCTTCCCCAAGAGCAGTAGTATAGTCTGCTTGTTACCTAAGCTCTTTCTATTTTCTAACTAACAATGCCTTAATTTATTGATTATAGGTTTGGTGGATGCACACACACACCCAGTTTGGGCTGGTGAGAGAGTTCATGAGTTTGCAATGAAGGTAAGTGCAATAAATGATGGCAAATAGAAATAAAGCACAAATATAGGCAAATCTCTTTCTAAAAAGTTCACAGGCTATATCAGGGTTTGCAGCATATATCTACATGTCTTTTTAATGGCTATTTTTAGTGGCCTGAACAGTGGAAAATGAATTACAACAAAATTAACTTATTTGTAAGGAGCTCTGGTAGCATAATGGCTAAGACACTTGCCTGCTAACCAGACGGCTGGCGGTTCAAACCCACCAGCCACTCCTCGGAAGGAAGGTTGGGCAATCCTACTT